GTTTTTTTAATCTTTTAATATTTTAAAAATATATAAAATATGATTAATATTTAGTATTTTAAAGAAAAATATGCATATTAGTGTTAACTTTTAAAAGAAATAAAATTTTAATTAAAAAACATTGTTTTTTAATAAATATTTTTAAAAATTAACAATAAAATTTAATATCTTATTGATATAAATCTTATACATTAATTTTTAAATTAATCTAATATTATAATTATTCCATTAATTAACAAACTTATATTTTTTAATATATATTTAATAGTATTAAATTTTTTATAATCAATCAACTAATTATATATATTCAATTAATTTAAAATTTGATATAGTTATTCCAAAATAATAATTATTTTTTGACTTAATCTAATTAAAAATTTAGAGACAAATCATATATTTATTTATATTACGTTTAAAAAAACTAAAAGATAAAATTTGATTTTTTATGATAGAATAATTAATTAAAATAAACAGAGAATGGTAAGATTAAATTAAAAATAATATTTGTTTATCTTAAACATAATAATTAATTCACACAAATTCAAAATTAAAAATTATTATTATTTTGAAATGAAAAGAACACACAATTTACATAAATAAAATATTAAATCTAACATTTAATTTTTAAAAATATTCATCAAATAGTAACTTTTTTAAAATTGAGACTCTAACTTTTTTTAAATCAAAACTCATATGCATTTTTATCTTATTTAATTTATGTTTTATATATTTTTAAAATTTTAAAGAGATAAAAACTAACCAACAAACTTCTTAGTTCTAATAAAAGGAATTCAACTTTTCTTAAGTATATTATTGACTTTGAGTTTTATGAATAAAAAAATAAATGTTAAAAAAAATTTTCTTTATGAAACCTAATGCAATTTGATAATAAATTAATTAAAATCTAATGTAACTTTTAGATATCAAAAAATTAATAAAAAAAGAGACAAAAAATAAAAAATAAGGCAGCTAGAAGTTACCAAACAAATCTAAAATAAAAGGATCAAAATTTGGTCAAAATTACTTTAACCTGGTCAAAATTCGGTCAAATTCAATAAACCAATGTCTCGAATTGGATTTTAAACCTCTGGTCCCACTTCCCTAAATTATAGGTTAAATGCTTAATTTGGTCCCTCAACTTTATGAAATGAACATTTTTGGTCCTTTAACAATTTTTTGCACTTTTTTGATCCCTCAACTATACGAAATGCACTCTGTTATTCCTTTTGTTAATTTCGATCATTAACTCGCTTATGTGGCATTTTTTATAAACTTTTTGATGACGTGGCAAAAACAAATTGAAAACGTGTTGATGTGGATTTTTTTTCATACCAAGTCACATTATTACTATTTATATTTTAAAAAATAAAAATAAAAAAACTCACGTTCATCTTCTTCCTTTCTCTTTTTCTTTTTTTTCCTTCCTCTTCTTTCTTCCTCTTCTTCCTCGGGTCATCGAACCCAGTTGCTGGGTTCGACGGAACCCAGCAAATGGGTTCCATCAAACCTAGATCTGCTGGGTTCGGTGGAAC